ACAAACAACAGTTTTGCAAAATTGGTGGTAATTCTTTGTGCATGTGTATCCAGGAGTCGTTCCACGTCACACACAGCCGTCCAATTCCTGGTTAAAACAGCAGTTGGACAGTTTGGGGACAGCCTGATAAGTCTTTCATGTCTTTATGCTCAATTTGAGCCAAAGGCCAGCAGGCCCTCACATGAGAAGTCTGGACATGGACAACAGCTCGGCTTGCTCTGTTCAAAGATGTTTTTAGAATGAACACATTGTGCTGCATTTATCTAATCCATAAACAGGCTGCATCTTATGGGAAGCTAACTGGCTGTATATTCATACTTGGCAAACAACTTGTGCTAAAAAGGTCAAGAAATGTTTTCTTCATCTAACCGGCAGCAGAATAATCTGACTGCAAGTCTGACACGTTAAATATTCAGATCTTTACCGTATACATTGACATCAGAGTTACATACCGGAGTGCAGTACTCCACCATGGGGTACTGCATCTTGTGTCCCTTGGCGACGCGACCGGAGAAGAAGCAGCTTTGGCAAATGTCATAGTTGAAATGTTTAAGGCTCCGATATCTGGGGAGAGAGAAACAAAAAGACAGGAAGGAAGGAGGTCAAAAACACAAATGAAGAGCAGTGGGACACAAAGGAAGGAGGAGGGAAGGAGTGTACACCAGAGCAGAGAGGATGGAAGAGCAAATGAAAAAAAGGAAGACAAGAAAGGGCAACGATCGATAAAAGAAGAAAATTTATGGCTTTGTTTTCTCCACAGTGGGAGTAGTTAAAATTCCTCCAGCCCAGTGCCTGAATAAGACATTCATTCTGTGTTCCTGGGCCTCCTGATTAAAACGCATCACCTCTGTCTTCTTAAAGGGAACCACCAGTAACAGCAGAAATAGCTCCCTCTACAGGTCGTAACCGGTACCATAACATAACAGTTTGCTCACTATTTCAGGGATTGGAGTTACAAATAGGACTGGAGTTCTGTCATTACAATCCTACCATCATTCATGTGTAAGTGAGAGCGTGGGCCATCTGTGTGTTCGTGTGATGTTTGTTGTTGTTGGTCACAAACAGCCTGTCACTGAAGACAACATTTAAAAGAGAAGGAAAAAAACTGGCATTAAATTGCTTGCTATAATAAATCTTTGTGTAGTAAACGCTGCACTACTCTGGGTGTGTACAGAGTTTGGCAACAGTCGTCTAATGTCACTGTGAGACATGAGCAGCACTGTGAGGATGTCACACTGCAGCAATTTGAGCTAAATGCTAACAACAGCATCGTAACAGGGTCACAATAACCATCCTGGATAACATGCTAACGTGCTCATTAAAGATCGAAGGTAAACTGACAAAGGAGACAGGAAATGAGAACAGCAGGTGATGCTACTAGAGACTCAGGAGAGACTTGGAATCCTCTATTCTGTCGCGCCAAGGGTTCGGTACCACTTGTGTCACAGTTGTGATTCTAAGGTCTTTGAGGTGCGGTGGTTAGACGAACTACAACAGCAAAATCATGCGTTTACACTGATTCATGAGTAATACTAATCTAATTAACAGCATTATAGGGTAGCAGTCACCTGTACTGTAACATGTAACCCCGTGGTAGACTGTCCTGATCATAAGACTGCAAACTTTCACTTTAAGTCACATTTTCAATGCAGGACTTTTACAGTGTGGTCGTAGTTTAAGGATCTGATTNTGGATGTTCCACAGCACTGAATGGGACTAGGACTAAATACTAGTGACACATTCGTCATTGTTTCTACACTGCTGTTGGTTGTGTATCTTGTTGATTGTGTATCTTTTGCCAGAACTAGTATCACATGTTATCTGGAGACACACAATCATCCAGAGTCATGACTACAGGTGGACGACTGCTACGTCAGCTGTTTTGGCTGCAGCATGATCCCTTAACAGGAGTCAACAGGTAGCATTAGCCTCCTACAGCAGTGGTCTTCATGAACATCTTTTACACTTTACAGGTCACAGTCTGCAGCCACAGCACCTGTTGTGCCCTTTATTCTACCGCTTAAGTTATTCATTTAAATCATGAAGTTGGAGATGTCAACGTCATCCTGCTGTTGTGTAGGGTTTGTGCGTTTCTACACCATAACGTTCTCTCACTTTGTGTGTGCGTGAGACGGAGAGCGATCCAGCCATAAAGAACACTTGAAAGTCATTCGCAAATGTCAGATGAGCCCGGTGTGCTCACTCATCCCGAACGTCATACAGAAACGCTATGGACTGACTGGCTAGCATTTAAAGGAGTAATTCAACTTTCTGGGACATACACTGATTCCTTTTGCAAAGATCTCTGACCTTTAGAGGAGTTAGTAAGATCTAGCGTTCATGAGAGTAAAGCTGTTGTTGTTTGCCCACCTATCCAGTATTGTGTTTCTATCAGTATGCAGAAGCCTTTTGACTCCTCAACATGATCCAGTCAGGCTTCAGTCCTGGTTCTGAACGATACACTTACATCACGAAGCACAATTCTGTCCTTCAAGTTTTGCCTCTGTGACTTCAACTGTCTTCTACGACCATTCTCACATTTCAACAAGAAACGACTTTAATCACGCTCTTGATATGGAGAAAAAACCAAGTA